GTGGTGCATTTAGAATGCTGCCCTTCGGCCCTGACCTTCAGTTTGCTTGCCCATGAGGCCTGGTAACAAGAAATAAATGTAGAATAAGACACTGAGCTATCAGGCACAAAGGTCTGCGCCAGGTCTCTCATCTCAGTGAGGGTTGTACCTGGTGGCAACCATTTGACTTGTTGACTCTCTTCTACCATATTCTGAAACAATTCATTGTTGCTGGAATGCACAGGTCGGGGATCCCTTGCCAAGGTCAGTCCAGCGCTTCTTGCTGCTTGTCGCTGAAGGGTCAGATTATCTGCCTTGTTGTCATCATTTACCCTGTTGGATTCTGCCAAATTTTCCGCAACGTTCTGGTGAAGCCATGACAACAAGACATTGGCTTTATCGGTTGCAAATTTTTCTTTTTGGATCTGAGATTGCTTTAAAGATTGGTCCGGCAACATTTTGCCATCTTTGATCTGTTTGGTCAAGGACTTGAATTTCCAGATTGGTAGCTTCAAAATCTGGCAGGCTGCTGTAACGCACAATGGCAAGCCCAAGAATTTGAATTTGCGCCAACCTGGGCCTTTTACTGTCTCTTCAGGGCCTGAGTCCTGGCCCCAATGCTTCAGACAATTGAATTGGAGCATTTCTTTTTGGGCTTTGCTTCCTGCAGTCAAAGCGGTTTGAAGCTCTGATGTGTGAAATGCAAATGCTTGGGACTCATTAATGGCTGCCAGGCATCCTGCTTTACAACAACTTTCGGTTGTCTCCTCGCCAGCCACTGACTCCACGTCTGATAGCAGTAACTCTGCGTCCGAGTTGTCGGATGGCAAAGAAACTGAGTCCATGGTTCATGGCCCGGTGTCTCGATGGTGAGTGGTGGCGCTTGGCGCCTTCTTGGACCCATCAGCCACGTGCATGTTGGTGTGTGTGACATGGTGTTTGATGTCATTGAGCAACTTGGTACTTTATATCTTATATCTGGTTCATTTCAGGGTTTGATCTTAAACACGCGAGACCATAACACCAATCACATGCATGCAGTTGCTTGGCATGCCCAGTCGGCTCTTGGTTTACCTATGCATGGGTCTCATTCTTTAGAAGGGTCATAGTGGGGAGACATGGACTTCAAACTGGAACATGAACCAGGAGATTTTAATTAACCAACGCGGGGTGGGAATTGACTGGGGGATGTTGGAATCTCTTCAATAGTGGGCCATATGGGGCTGGCAATTTTGCGGGCATCACGCGCGTTCAATTTCAGTTTTTTTTTCCGGGCTGTGAGGGTAAGCGTTGGAGCTTGTGCTCCAAAAAATGCCCTGGTCCTGTCCTCGGCTTCCTGAGACACCCGCCACCCCAGAGGTGGTAGGGTTCTGGGTTGCGCTTCAATCTGAGGTGGTAGGGTATGGAGTTTTACCCGCCACCATGAAGGCCACTTATCGGTGGCCGGGCTGGCTGCGTGAATCAGCCGCCGTAAGATTCAGATGCTCGGTTGGTGGTGTCCCATTGCCAATGATGGTCTTGGTAGTGGTCCTGACTATCAGACCCACGCCAAGAATTTTGACTGTCCCATGGCCCATAATTTTCTTGGTAGTGGTCGTGACTGTCAGACCCACGCCAAGAATTTTGACTCCAGTCGCCGTGCCGGTCATGGTGCCAGTCAGTGTCACTCCAAGTCCACTGGCGCCCCTGCCATGCTGGATTGTCTTGCCATGACTCACTACTGGTTGCCCAATCATGGCTCTGGTCATGGTAGTGCCCTGAGCTCTCACGCCATGACCATGTTGGCTTTGCAGCTGGAGCATGAGGATTGCCAACTTGATGCGATGACTCATTCTGATTTTGGGCTTGTGGCACTTGGCCGCCGGCACCTGTGGTGCTAGGCGCTCCGCCAGTACTCCCACCATCTAGCCAAGCACTGAAATCATCTGCCTCGCCGTCTCCCACGTAATCCATTTCCCAGGGATTCCGGTAGAAGTAGGTAGCCGAGTCGTCCTAATTGGGCTCTGCCGCTTGGCGCCTACGACTTGCGGATCTGCTGCTTGGACGTTCGCGGGGCCTACTTTGTGATCTCTGCCTCCGGCGCCATCTCTCGGCGCTAGGAGGAGAAGGCCCAGGTCCAGGCTCAGGTTGGCCCCACCACTGCCTATCAGGTGGTTCCGACCGACCTCTCTGTGGCCTGTTTCGTGCGGCAGGGCCTGACTGGCCTGGGCATTTCCGTGAATGCTGCTCTTTCGCCCAACTGTCGTCGGCTGCTATCATTCTCCCGCAATGCTCGCATGGCTCGCGGGCGTGGGGAGCACGCCCTGAGGCAGCCAAGCAAAAAGACGAGGTTAGCTGGTGCGACCGCAGCTGCCAGCGACCTCCTTTCACAATTTTCTTACAAATAGGGCATTCCATTGGAGGCCCACCCTGCATCACATCGTTGTGATTCGACTTGCTTGGCTCTGGCCCTGGGCCTGACCATGGCGGAGCCTCAGTCCCTGGGGCATCTTGGCTAGATCCCGCTGGGTTCTTTTCCTGGCTAGGATTATCGCTTGAATCCGGCCAGGGACATGAGTCCGCCCAGGATTGGGTAGGACCATCAGTCAACCAGGGATCCGCCCAAGTTTGGGTAGGATTCTGGTCTTGCTCTGACTCTTCTGGCACCGAGCCAAATTTGGGCACCCAAACATATCTTGGTCGCGAGGTTGACCTGGAGGATCCCCGTTGCTTTGGGGCCATTTGGGCCAACTTGCGCTCCAGCTGGGTAGCTTTTTGCTTGAGCCGAAAGGACCAAGACCCAGAGTTGATGATAACTTTGACCAATGTGCACCGTGGTGGCATGGTTTATTATCTTCAAAAAAAGTTGTTTTTTTTTAAAAAAAGTTGAAATGAAATTATTTTGCCTTAAGTGCGATTTTCGTGGCAGGCGCAGGGAAGCGTGAGGTTGCGAGGTGTGACGGAGGTGACATTTCGTGGCAGGCGCAGTACTTTGTGCGCGTTAGACGCGTGGACGCGGAAAGATGCATGGCAGGCGCAGGGAATCGTGAGGTCGTGAGTTGTGGTAGAGGTGAATGTCGCTGTCACATTGGGATTGGCGTGTGAGCGGGTATTGTTTGGAGGGGCTGGACTCGCGAAACTGCTTGGCAGGGCTGCGTGATGTCTGTGCTCCGATGGGTGTTTCCGCTTGACTTTTGGAGGAAGTCTCGTACGAAATGCTCGTTTTGCAGACTTTGACATGTGAGCTTTGGAGGAAGTCTCGTACGAAACGCGCGTTTTGGAGACTTGACACGTGGCTTTTGGAGGAAGTCTCGTACGAAACGCTCGTCTTGCAGCCTCGAAGCATGACTTTTGGAGGAAGTCTCGTACGAAACGCTCGTCTTGCAGCCTCGAAG